GGGGTAAAGGTATCATTAAAAGTTCCTATGACTGGGTGTGGTGTCTTAAGGGTGCTATCTCAGCACTCTGCAGAGAATTCTTGCATTCTTAGCACAACTCCTAATCTAATAGAGTAACAAATTGTAAATACCACTTGTAATAGAGGTCTGCAAGGAGGAGCCCTGGGATGGGTGAAGATGTGTCCAGAATGGCCTCTCAACCCTCTCACCAGCACCCTTATAAAAACTGGCCATAGCATCTAGGCCAGCCTGGTCTACACAGTGAGTTTCAGGCTGGCTGGAGCTACAGGGAGCCTCTGTCTTAAAAAAATCAAAAAGAAAAAGAGAAAGGAAAAAAAGCACATTTTTTCAGATTTGTGGCTATGACTTTTTTTTTTTTTTCTTTTTTAAAGAAAGCAATCACCAACCGAGCTGGAGAGATGCCTTCTTCTAGCCTCTGAGGGCACTGATGCAGGCAAAACATACACATAAAACAAAAATCAAAAACTTTTCAATATTTTGTTTAATTTAAAAAAAAATTTTAGCCAGGCATGGTGGTGCATGCCTTTAATCCCAGCACTTGGGGGGCAGAAGCAGGTGGATAAAGGCCTTGTGAATTCAAGGCCAGCCTGGTCTACATAGCCAGTTCCAGGCCAGCTGGAGCTACAGGGAGACAGTCTAAAAAAAAAAAAAAAAAAAAAAAAAAAAAAATTATGTGTAAGAGTATAATTGCACCCATGTCTGCAGTGCCTGTGTTGGTCAGAAGAGGGTGTCAAACTTCCCTGGAACTGGAGTTATGGATGGTTGTTAGCCGCCATGTGGGTGCTGAGGACAGAAACCGGATCCTCTGCAAGAGCAGTCAGTGCTCTTAACTGCTGAGCCATCTCTCTAGTCCCAATCAAAAAAAATTTTTTAAGTGGGAAATGTTAACATCAGAAATCAATGTTTTAACAGGATACAAAGGCAAAAATCAGATAAAAGGCCCAAAGAGACTTCCTAGCAAGTTCATGGAGAGAGTTGAAAGTGGAGTCACATGCACAAAGACTGGAACAACCAAAAATTAGGCCACAAAGGAAGTTTCACCTTCCAAAAAGAGTATATTTTCTTACTTTTCTTAAATTTCTTTGGTTTATTTATTTAATATTTTATTTATTTTATGTGTATGAGTGTATTGCTTACATGTAGGTAGGTGTACCTGTGTTGTGCCATGCCCATGGAGGTCAGAAGAGGGGGTTGGATCCCCTGGAACTGGAGTTACAGATGGCTGTTAGTCACTATGTGGGTTCTGGGAGCAGAACCCAGGTCCTCTGCAAGAGTAGCCAGTGCTCTTAACTGCTAAGCCATCTCTCCGGCCCTTTGTTTTTATTTTATGAGTGTTTTTGCCTGCATGTATACAAGTATATCATATTGATGCAATGCCCATGTAGGCAAGAAGAAGGTGTTGGATCCCCTGGAACTGTTGTTATGGATGTTTGTTAGCTGTCATGTGGGTGCTGGGGACCAAA